CCGTGTAGAACAATAATCGCTTGTGTATTGGAAAGACACGGAATTAAAAAAGAAAACGAATTCACAGATTATTCTTGTAAAGGTTTTTTTTATCCTGTTTTCAAGTTGAGTGAGAGAAAAAAATGACACTCCACCCCAGACACTGTTGGGAAATGATCAGAAAATTTGAAAGAAAAGAAATTAAGATCGGTTGTCGTTTCACCTGGAGGACATGGGTTTTCCAGGTCTACTTTCCTAAGACACGCTACAGATAATACCCCTCCGACATTCAACTCAGATATGGGCTTAGGTGGTCAGTTGCACTGCGACCCTAAGACCCCTTTCGGTCATGGAAAGTAATGAAAGAGATGATAAAGGGCTCTGTCAATCAGAATAAAGAGAGTTTTTTTTTTTTTTTTACTTTAGTCCGCTTCATCTTTCTTTTCTTTTTATGTGCCAGGTCCTTTCAGGACGTAGGTGATCATGGCTCTCCACCTCCTTCTATCCTTTGCAGCTCTCAACAACTTCCCTCTACTTCCTCCCCCAGACCACGTTCTGCCATCCACTTGCTTAAGCGTGGTATGTATGCCATGAGTTGTTTTCCCTTGTCTCTCTTTCCCTCTATTCGACCCGAGAGTATCAGATTCTCCAGGCCCTCCTTCCTCATTATGTCTTCCAGAAACTTCAGCTGCCTCTTCCTGATGTTAACCATAAGCCTCCTCTTTGTTTGCATCCTCTCTAAGGCCTCATCGTTGCTCAAACGCTCGGAACATGATATTCTTAGCATCCTTCTATAGAACCACCTCACAAGCCCTAAAAATCACTCAAGGTAAAGGTTTACTGAGATTGTCTCTAAGGCAAGGAGAAGGAGATAGTAAGAAATGCATATTAGGGGGATATGTAGGATACTTGACACTAAACTTGTAGAGATTGTAATGGCAAGGAAGCACCCTTTCGGGAATCTGTCTGAATGAAACTTACTCTTTACCAAAGGAATAAAAAGAGAGTGGGTATGATCTGATGCCATAGTATAACGGACCTTAGCTGTGAAGGTCTGAATTGGTGGAACAAAGGAATGTATCTCATTGGGACATTCACCATAGTAGTGACGATAAATTAGTGAGCGTCTAGACACATTTACTCTGTGGGATAGGGGTTGCAAAGAGTGATATAATTTATCAACCACAAAGCTTCTGAACGCTTTCAGGACTGGACAGAAAGGTCTGTCGCGTTTATTTTATAAGTATTGTGCTAAACGTCTTATCAGCATTTTCATTTATTTCCGCGTGTCTACCCGTTCGTTTCACTCGCAACCAGAAATTATTTTCAGATGTTGGGATTCTTCAAGTGATCTGGAGTTATTAATAAACATGACATCCGGCAGCTGGACATTTAATGGCGAGATTGGATGTTTTTCAGGAGCGTGGAACCACTACTTAATTGCTGTTGTTCCAAAGTCCACACTGACATTGGGTGGTAGCACCTGTTAAGGTCCCGGCTATGAGTAAATAGTGAACCCCCAAACAAGACACTATAAATGTATAAAAATACATCTTTTAGTAAAATTATCAGCAATACATATTTATAGTGGAATGAACATCAATACATTTTCTATGTAGTTGAAGGCATTTGAAGTTCAAAATATTTAGATTTCGACATTAAATAACCCATATAGGTTGATATGCCGCTAAACAAAATCAACGAAGCCAATCAAAATATTTAGATTTCGGCATTAAATAACCCATAGAGGTTGATATGCCGCTAAATAAATTAAACCAAACAAATTAATAAACAATTAATAAATAGCAGTATATCAAGGTAATGGTAGATGGCGCCACTGTACCCCGATTTCGTGGAAATGCCTAGACATATACCTGTTATGCAGTTAGTGCACGATGATTTTTTTTTCAAATAAGCCCTTCCCCATAATAAATAAGATATTACAAATCGTGTAACAGCAAAAATATCCAATTCTTTTGATTAAGCTTTGAACCGTTGTATCTTACAAATGATTAAAGATATCTTAGTGGAATTCTCCTGGGTTTTTATAACACTGTTGGACACTATATTGAGCAATAAGAATGTATAATTACTCTTCAAACTGAACAGAAAATTCTCGATGAAATCGATCATAAACGAACATGACATGTTCATCATTAATTAATCATAACTAAGGATTGGAAGCTCATGAAGGATTGATATAAAGTTCATATATATATACATTATGCCAGGATTATTTTCCTACTTATTGAAGATGATCTTCGCCCTCTCTAACCTTCTAACTTTCTTTCCCTGGGTAATAGGCTGCTTCACACATTTCACGTACGATTTCATTTTCAAGTATGTTTTTTCACTGCTCTTTGGACTCTCGTAGCTGAAACTCCTCTCTCACGTGCCAAACGTCTTATGAATTGAGTTGGATCTTTTCTAATTGATTTCTTTAGCTGTAGGTTGAAATGATGATCCCTCTTCTTGTTGTGACCTCCTGATCCAGTTTTCCGCTCTACTGTTCCGTCTTTAAAAAAAAAAAAAATTTAAAGTTATTCACCGTTCTCTTGATGGTTCTTGAATGTATATTGAAGATGGAAGCCAGAGTACGATTGTTGGTAGCATTACTAAAGGCCTTAATGATCTTTTTTCCTCTCACCATTGCTCAGTTGGGAAGACAGTGAGGCTGACACAAAACGATTTTCACCTATTTTCTGAATAACTCAAAGGGTTTTCAGTGATTCTTAAGACAAATGGTAACAAGATGACGAAACACCTTATCTGAAAACCTGGAAAAAAGAAACTCAATTACTTTCGAGGATTTTAGATATTAAACATTTTGCGGGATGGACAATTTTGCTGTTACACGATTTGGACAATTTTGCTGTTACACGATTTGGACAATTATGCTGTTACACGATTTGGACAATTATGTTGTTACACCATTTGGACAATTATGCTGTTACACCATTTGGACAATTATGCTGTTACACGATTTGGACAATTATACTGTTACACGATTTGGACAATTTTGCTGTTACACCATTTGGACAATTATGCTGTTACACGATTTGGACAATTTTGCTGTTACACCATTTGGACAATTATGCTGTTACACCCGGCATATGTATGAAATCTATCTAGTATGTTTGTTCTTAAATTTTATAACACTTTATGCATGTTGGGTTTGTTGTTATTATGTTGTTTGTTATTGCGTTGGTTGTTTTATTTTGTTGGTTTGGTTGTTGTTATGTTAAATTTTTGTAGTCAAGCTTTACTGTTTATATGATATAATATTTTTGTATTATTGTTGGAACTTTGTCCAATTTCTTCTTGTCAGTTACTGTTGATTTTGTTGGTGATATGCGATTTAATTAAAACTATGATTAGATAAATGCCACGTCAATCGGCGGAATGATGTAGTGGTTGTGTAACCAATGTAGATGTAATTTGCATTCGCATTATTATGAAAAAAGATAAAAATAACGAAGATTGTATTTCAACGAAAAAAAAAAGAAAAAGAAAAAAAGGTCGACCATTGTATTTCGGGAAGATAACGTTTTTAAGATAAACAGTTTTTGTAATCAAAGTGCTCGATATAAAAAAAACTAAACTTAAAAAATGGTAATCATAAAAACAAAACCTTGTAGCAATGTTAGTCGCAAAATCTGGCGACTATGCTTGGAATAAAAATTCTAAATAATCAGCTTCATCAAAATAAATTGGTAAATAAAAAAATGAATCCATAGATGAATTCAGATCTATGAAGAAACACCTACTTTGTTATATAAAACCAGATTTAAAAACAAAAAAAAATATTATTCATCTATTTATTTACTTTTATCCATTTATTTGCTAAGCTACTCAAGTAAAAGTATAAGTTGTACTTATACTTACATTAAGTCAACCATGATTTTAAATCTGAGGATAATATAAAGAAAAGGACAATCCTTACAAATATTTAAACAAGCCAAATCTATCTAGAAAGGTTAAGTTATAGTTAGTTATTAGGTTGGTGCAAAAATAATGACGTAACAATGTCGTTTTTTGACGTATTTTTTAAGGTCAAAAAACGACATTATTACGTCATTATTTTCGCACCAACCTAATAGAATCCATCATTAGATTAACTATTAACTTAGAAAAAAAAGAAATTTGCACAAATCCCTATTCTCGCATCTGACTTCGGTTACTTAAAAGAAATTATCTAATGCATATAATCGAAAGATTTTACATCATTAAATAGAAGACATTTACAGATAAGAACATTTCTAAAAATGAATAGTATCATGTCAACGGAAGAATGGATGTAATCCTGTGAAACTGAAAATAGAGACAAGATAAGTGAACATTTAATTTTATATATATATATATATATGAAGAAAAATATACGGAAAAGACAAACACAAATCCTAATATGCAATTATACTGTTTTAATGTTAATATAATGTCAACGTCGGACGTTTCTGTCTAGTAGACCATCTTCAGGACATATTCATAAAATATAATTAACATTAGACTATATTCAATTCAACATGAAAAGACGATGGAAATTAAGAGTAAGACTGATCAAAACAGATAACTGAAATTTTTTCAAGATAGCGTTCCGTTTCAATATGATCACGTCGGTGTCACGTGGGCGATGTTGTGAAATGTCTAATGTTAAATATGTTTTATGAATATGTCCTGAAGATGGTCTACTAGACCGAAACGTCCGACGTTTACATTATATTTACATTAAAACAGCATAATTGCATGTTAGGGTTTTTGTTTGTTTTCTCCGTATATTTTTCTTCATACTGTCGGATCTATATCCATATATTTGCTTACATATATATATATATTCTTGCTCTCTCCTGGACATCGAGCTCTACCTGCATTCTATTCTCTTGGAAATATATATATATATGTATATTGACCACTAATATTCTCTCTCTCTCTCTCTATATATATATATATATATATATATACAATTAAATGTTCATATATATCATTAAATTTTTCCTAATATATATATATATATAATTAAATGTTCATATATATATATATATATATATAGAGAGAGAGAGAGATAGATAGATAGATAGATAGATAGATAGATAGATAGATAGTTTAACCTAGCTCCAGCGGAGGGCTCTTGATTGGACCTCCATCACAATAGTTGTGGAGTGGAGTAGATACGATAGGCAACAATAAACTACAGAAGAACTCAAAACTGATCGCTGCATTTAAGTATTGAATTAAACTTACCTATTAAAAAGTTCAACGATAATTTTTCTTCCGCCGCTTAATTTAAAGACTGATGTACGTAAGTCTTTACTTTCCGTATAAACAATTATTTTTATTTCATGGGTGTCTTTCGCTGGATTTTGCAATTAATTTCGATTATTCTCAAATTTATTTCCAAGTTATAAAAATTGTTATTGTACAAAAAAAGATCGTCGCCAAAAATCCCGTAAAAATCGCCGAAAACAATCGCAGTATTGAAAACTTGGGAAGCCAAAATTTCAGGATTGCGGATCTGGATCCAGCCTGGAATCCATACAACTGAATATGTCAACTCTGTCACAGATATTGAGCACTTTCCATTACGTACCGCGCATATATATTTATTAAGCTAAATAAAAATCCTGTCTGTGACACAAGAAATAACATTGCTACATTATCTTTGACACTCAGAGCCGAAATAACAAACGGTTTAAATTTAAATTTATCCAGAATAGTTGAAAAAACAGTAAGTTTAGACGCTTGACCTAGAAAATCTATTTTCTGGGGATCTGTAATATTGACGACTTATGTGAGGGAGGAGGGGTTGTTAGCTTTCAACTTGGTTTTCATGTGTGATGGATGGGAGAACATAGTAACAGCTAAAATACTAACACACAAACACACACATACACATATAGATACACACAGTTAAATTTGATAAATATATCTATTAAAATGAGATGTCAGCGTTATTTTCATTTCTGCGTCATTTAGACGACAATTTATCCATCGCAGCCTGTATATCCGTTAAAATGAGATGCCAGTGTTATTTTCATTTTTGACGTCATTTAGAGATTTAGATTTTTGACTATTTATCCATCGCACCCTGCATATCTGTTAAAATGAGATGTCAGTGTTATTTTCCTTTTTGACGTCATTTAGACGACAATTTATCCATCGCACCGTGTATTTCTGTTAAAATGAGAGTGTTATTTTCATTTTTGGCGTCATTTAGACGACAATTTATCCATCACATCCTGGATATCTGTTAAAATGAGATGTCTGTGTTGTTCTCATCTTTGGCGTCATTTAGACGACAATTTATCCATCGCACCCTGGATATCTGCTAAAATGAGATGTCAGTGTTATTTTCATTTTTGGCGTCATTTAGACGACAATTTATCCATCGCACCCATATAAATAAATGGTTAAGTTACCGCACTTTTTTTTTTTTTTTTACGGAAGGTTCACCCTGTTCAACTCCCGGGGGCCACACGAGGTAGAGGGTTACGTGAAGGGGTGGTTTATATGGATAGGAGGGGAACATAACGATTGACCCTAAACTTGAACAGGTTAAGATTGTAATGTTTGGGAAAACATAATCTCATGTGTCTGTTCCGCAGAGCAGTGGTCCGCAGGATGGAAATAACACCTCAACGATGGAATACGGAGGGGATAAGGGTGGTGTGTTACTGTTAAAGTGGCATGGCGGATCCTAACCGCAAAGGTTAGGCTTGGCGTAACCAAGGAATGTAGTCCGTCCAAGCACTTTCTAGGGTATTAGCGACAGAACTGTGGGAGACTCGCCAAATCCCGCCAGTGAGAGAGAGGGAAATAATTCTTCTTCAAAAAGGACTCAGAAACGCTTTTACAGTGTAAACATGGCCGCTCCGTTAGCAATGTGCATGAAGGAGAAACAAAGGGCAGTGATCTGACTTCTTTGGTTCGAAGGTGTGTCAGGGGCCTGAAATTCATCGGAGGCTTTTAACGCAATAAGGCGACAGTGCATTTCCGCTAAGAGGTGTGTATTAGTGGACCGAGACGTTTAATAGTTTCCGGACAGGCGTGACACGCAAAGAAGGAATAGGACAACCTTTATCACTGACGAGAAGATTCAGCAAGCCCGAGTAATGATAATGGCGAACCGACGACTTATTATCGATGGGGGTAGCATGTTTCCTGCAAAACAATATTGCTTAATCTTCTAAATAAACGAAATATCGAACATATATTTAAATTTACTTCTTTTTTATGTGCCGTGTCCGTTCAGGACGTAAGCCATCATGGCTCTCCACATCCCCCTATCCATTGTAGCTCTCAGTAACTTTCGTCCCTCTGCCACCTGTCCCCAGGCCATATTCTGTCATTCGCTTGGTTAAGCCCGCTAGGTATGTCATGCGTTGCTTTCCCTTGTCCCTCTTTCCCTCTATTCCACCTTTATGTGACGTGTCCGTTCAGGACGTGGGCGATCATGGCTCTCCACTTCCTCCTATCCCTTGTAACTTCCAATAAGTTTCGTCGCTCTGCCACCTCCTCCAGACCACGTTCTGTCATCTACTTGCTTAATCCCGCTAGGTATGTCATGCGTTGATTTCCCTTGTCTCTCTTTCTCTCTATTCGACCTTTATGTGACGTGTCCGTTCAGGACGTGGGCGATCATGGCTCTCCACTTCCTCCTATCCCTTGTAGCTCCCAATAAGTTTCGTCCCTCTGCCACCTCCTCCAGACCACGTTCTGTCATCTACTTGCTTAATCCCGCTAGGTATGTCATGCTTTGCTTTCCCTTGTCTCTTTTTCTCTCTATTCGACCTCTGAGTATCATATTCTCCAAGCCCTCCTTTCTCATTACGTGTCCTAGAAACTTCAGCTGCCTCTTTGTTATGTTAAGTATAAGCCTCCTCCTTGTATGCATCCTCTCCAAAACCTCATTGTAGCTCACACGCTCGATCCATAATATCCTCAACATCCTTCTGTAGAACCACAATGAAGCAGAAAAGAAAGAATACATTATTTTTCCTCTATATCATGCTATATTACGAGGAGTGAGGGTTGAGCTGTGACATTTTGCATGCATTAATTTCAGTTATAATACCTTCTGGTTGAAAATTATATTACCTTCTCTATTTACCAACCTTTCCACAAGGAAATATGTAGCACAGGGCCAGTTTTTAACGTGGGTCGTTCCGAGCCCGTAGACTCGGGCAAAAAACGGTCCTTCGGTATAGCCTCGTCTGGGTTGCTCTCTATCCGAAAGCAGGTAGTTCGAGTCTTGGAAAACAAGCCCCAGTCAACACAGCAAACGGTATTTACCTAGCCTCTTCACAATTCAGAAAGCGGCACAAGGCCAATTTTCATGTGGGTCAAATTCGATCCCGTTTGCTCGGGCAAAATTTCCTCTTAGACCCCGTATACACAGTGTCGTGTTTTTCTACTAACCCTAAACGAGACTTGGCCCTTCGGCATAGACTCGTCTGGGTTCCTCTCCGCCCGGAGACAGAGAGTTCGACAAAAGTGGAAGATTGGCAGATCTAACTTCTACATAACAATTGGAGAGGTGGCAAAAAGGAACTTAACTTTAAGTTTATGTTGGTGGAAGCCACCATTTTGATTGGGAAATAAACAAAAAGAGAACATATTTTTTAAATTTGAATAATGAATTTTAAAACAGTCACGAGGTCTAAATATAGTAACTTTTACAGACAAATGAAACATCAAATTTAATTTTTTATTAGGCGTCTGGCTTTCTTTTAAATAAACTTCTCACAAAAGTAAATATAAAAGACAAACTTAGACTATTATACTGTTTATCCTTTTAAAATTATCTACACATGTTGTTAATTATTATTTTTAATGAGATAAGGACAATTTTTCATGAAGAAAAGAAATGCATTTGAAATATTCGTCCTGGGTAAGACGATAAACTACATCCAGCAGCAAGGCCTCTGATCAGGTGGTTTTGTGGAGCGTGGAACCACCTCTTAATTTGCTGGTGTTCCCAGGTCCGCCCTGACCCGGGGTGTTAGCACTTGTTAGGGTCTCAGCTATGGGCAAATAGTTAACCCCTAAGCTTGGGTCAAAACATTATGAAAGTGTAAAAAGAGCAATACATTTTTGTAAAAATAGAAATAGTTGTGAATAGGCGAGAGATAGATAGATAGATAGATAGATAGATAGATAGATATGAACAGACTGAGATATGAATAGATAGATAGATAGATAGATAGATAGATAGATAGATAGATAGATAGATTTGCTTATCGTCCGATTCAAATTCCTCCCCAGTCTTTTGGGGCAGGAGTAGAGGGTTTAGCCTTTATTTCCTGTTTAGGACTGGATGTCCGGTTCCCTCTAAAATCTTCTCATTTTCTTTCACTACCAATAGCCCGCTGCGTCTTAGTGGCATTATTGCCTTGCTTGTGGAGAACTGATTTTAAAAAAAATAGATAGATAGCTATGAATAGGATGATATATGAATATACTGAAATATATATATATATATATATATATATATATATATATATATATATATATATAGATAGATAGATAGATAGATAGATAGATATGAATATACTGAAATAGATGTAAATAGGCGACAGACAGACAGATAGATAGATAGATACGAATATAGTGAAATTATAGATGTGAATAGGCAACAGACAAAAACAGATAGATAGATAGATAGATAGATAGATAGATATGAATATACTGAAATACACGTGAATAGGCGACAAAGAGATAGATAGATAGATAGATAGATAGATAGATAGATAGATATGAATATACTGAAATAGATGTAAATAGGCGACAGACAGACAGATAGATAGATACGAATATAGTGAAATTATAGATGTGAATAGGCAACAGACAAACAGATAGATAGATAGATAGATAGATAGATAGATAGATAGATAGATAGATAGATATGAATATACTGAAATACATGTGAATAGGCGACAAAGAGATAGATAGATAGATAGATAGATAGATAGATAGATATGAATATATTGAAATAGATGTAAATAGGCGACAGATAGATAGATAGATA